ATCTCGACGGTCAGATGGATATCAGCATTACTGGAAAGACCGTTGTAGCGATCCGTTGGTGTTCTCGAGACGAAGTTCTGGGGCGCGCCTCTTTGATGGTACGGGTGGTTTTGGAAGCAGAGGAAAGTTGGAGCTTGCCTTCCCATCGTGCTGTATGAACAGTCAGGAATACCAAGGAGTGCTTGAGTCTAACCTCTTGCCTTTTCTGAGCGGGCCACGATGCAGGACACATGTGATGCAGCAGGAGAACATGGCCGTGCATGTTTCAGATTCTACTAGAAATGGCTCCAACGCAAATGCCTGTTAATCTTTCCACTGTTGGGACAGCTCTGCCAAGTCATGTAAATCAATGAGAATCTGAAATCTGTGCTTCGCCTCGCGAATTTTTCCCGATGTTGGTTTAGATGAAACACTTTTCAGTCGTTTACTTCATGCTAACTTACATACTAACTAGCATACTGCTCTACTAAGAATAAAGCAGAAGGATCTTGAAGGAAAAAAGGATTTCAACTCACTTGAGCAGTAAGCGCAGCCAGTTGCTTTGCCCTTCGATATCGACGCCTCTGTGACTTGTTCACCATGGTCCCATTGTGGTGCTTGAGGATATGCTCCTTAGAAAACACAGATATTTTTTTTCTAAAGATATAGGTGAGATGAAATAAGATTACCTTCAATTTGTCACGACGACTGGAAGCATAATCACAAGCGTCACATTTAAAAGGTTTGTCTTCGAGATGAATCCGTTCATGGCGAACCAAATGCGATTTTTCAATAAAGCCTCGGCCACAAATCTGCAATACGTGACTCGGACTTTAGTGAACCTCAGTCTCCAAAGGAGATATGAACTAACTTTACACATGTGCGCTCGAACAGCCATGTGCGTCCTCAAATGTGCAGCCAATTGACTTTTCTTTGGTGAGGAATAGTCACAGTTATCTGCAGGTAAGAATATCAAATCCACTGGTAGTGAGAGAATTTATTCAACTGCTATGGGTGCGTTCATACTTTGCGTCAGCGTCCACCCAAGCCCCAGTGCCAGCGACTAGGAAAATATGGACATTGATCTAGCGGATGCCAGCGACTACGAGCGTCACCAGCGTACAGCAACGTTTTCGCGGGCAGTTTTGCTCAAGTTCGAAAACGCCCATGAAAACGATGCTGTATGTCGGTGGACGCTGGCGTCGTATTGACACCTATACTTCCCTAGTCCATCGAGACGCTGGTAGACGCTGGCGTTCGCTAGATCGATATCTATACTTTCCTAGTCGCTGGCGCTAGCGTACGCTCGAAACGGTGGTGGACGCTGACGCAAAGTATGAACGTAGCCTAACAAGGCATCATTAGAATTAGCGAATGGAATAACGGCTTTACCTATGTGGCAATAGAACATATCTCCTGTATGCTGCCTTCGATGAGATGTCATATGATCCGCATTTGACGTAGAAAATCCACAATCATCGCAAACCAGAGACCTATGATGGCGAACCTCAAGCATTATCGCGGCGATCAAAATGAATTTATGCATCTTTGAGTCAGTAATTTGTAGTTGTGTATGTAAATACCAGGAGAAACAACTAAGGTGAACTGCAAATGCTCCTAAGTTTTTTTGTCAAGAGCGAAAATAATTTTTTACCCCTGAAACAAAAAAAGCGTAAAAGTTACAACATTCTAGCCTACCGAGGTTCATCATGTGACGAAAAGTGCATCTCTAACGCGGTGTGGGTATTGAAACCTCGACCGCACTCCTCACAGTGAAGAGGTCGCTCATCCAAGCTACTATGCATCCGTTCATGAGCCCAAAGTTGTGTTCGTGTACGGGCCCGGAAATTGCATTCAAGGCATTTGAAGAAGCGCTCGTTTGCTGAAATAT